TTTTATTGAAAATCTCAGAGCTTATCTAAAGGTAACTAAGTTTGGTTAGAGTTTAAAACCTTAAGAATTTATCTATTGATGAATCAGGAATTAAATGGATTCTGATTTTTTAATATTTGAAAAGTATTAAAAAGCATTACCATTAAAATTTAATAGAAAATCAAAATTAGAATTTCATTTGCACTAATAAAAATGAAAAATAATCTATAACAATAGTTATACCAAGAAATCAACATAAAAATTTGGTAATGATTGTAATATATTATTAAAGAAATATAAGAATTCATTCTCTTGTTTGGAAAAGGGGTTGTTTGCTCTATAAAAAAGCTTATATATGGAATATATTTAAACTTATGAATGGTGACTAAAAATATGGAGTTAACCTTAAAATCTTTTATAGCGTATAACATAGAAATCTATGATGTTATAGGATTCCAGTAACACTAAGACATATAAAGATGAAGAGAAATTAAATAATTCAGTTTCGATAATTCGTTCACTATGAATGAGATTAAGAATATAATAATGATTACATTAGCATTTATATCTTAGATCTTAAATGATAGATTAAATTGGCATGTTTTAATGATATAAGATGCTGATATTCTGATTTAAATAAGAAGTCAAAATGTTAATAATTAGAATATAATGCACTTAAGGTAGACAAATAATTAGGATATTCACAATCATTTAGAAAATATAAATGATGATAACAATTTAATTAATAAAAATTAGTTTTATTGAAGGTTAACATATTATAAGTATTACAGGAATATTACTATCTGTAAATTGCTGTAATCAAAAAGCTAATATTGCAGGAAATGATTGATTTTCTAAACAGAATTAATTCTTTGAACAAAAATTCTTAGTTATGAGCTTTACTGTTGAAATAATATGATTTGAACAAGTTAAAAGTCATGGAAAACTTTTCCTTGCTGAAAAACAGAGAAAATTGAGAGAAGTATCCTTTAATTTTAATGATGAAAAATTGCAAAATAAAAGTGAAATAATCCTCAATTTATTTAATTAAATGTAAAAACCAAAAATGATAGAAAATGAAAAAGATTTTTGTTGCTCTAAAGGACATAAGCTACCAGTCATTACAATAGCACTAGATCCAAAATTATCAAGGAATTAAAAACTCTTGTGCACAGAATGTTTAGAAAATACAGACATAGACGGCTAAGTGGTTGGATTAAAGAAAATGATTTAAGTAATTGAAGAAAATTAAGTTAAGAAGATGGAAAAAGTGGAATATATCATAACGAATTAAATAAAATTAATTGAATCATTACATAGTGTAGTTGATCAAATGAAATCAATTGTTATGTAATAATTAAATTAATTGATTACTATAATTATTGAATGGATTCAGAAACTATAATAACAGCGATCGAATGTTCTCAATATAGTTTTTTTGAGGAATTAGAACTTATGGTTTTGAAGTCAAATTAAACTGATTCTAATATATATATCCAAGAGATTTAGAAACCAATCTCTGTTGGACTTCAAAATTTAATCCTATATTAGAATAATTTCCACCATCAGAAACTAATTAATCTAGTAATCAATTGAATTTCAAACCTTTCGATTATTAATTAATCCAAGAATATTCAATTTCATAAAGTGATAAGTGTTTAGCTATATCTATTGATAAAGATTGTTCAACATTAATGGCTGGATGTCATTCACTAATTAAAGTATTTGAATTCAAATAAGGAATGATCAAATTAATTTAAACTTTAAATTAACATAAGGATTAGGTGACTACTTTAAACTTCATGCAGACATCTAAATAGTTTATATCAGGAAGTTGTGATAAATCGATAATAATATGGAAATAGAATTAAAATAATTTATGGAGTTATTAATAAATATTATATGAACATAATGATATTATCTAATGTTTAATAATAAATACTAATGAAGATTTGATAATATCAGGAAGTGATGATTGTACTATTAAATTTTGGATAAA